TTTGTGACCTGCATTCAAACAAATACAGTTTGCAGAAGAAAGAATCATATTATTGATGCAAAATAATGTTATGTTTAATTCCTTAAGTTTTTTTGCATGCACATGTTTATTCTTTGCGATTCTTTGTACGGGCATGTCCGCGTAACATTTTTTCTGCATTTCTAAACTACTGGATCAGTCCATTTGCCTTCTACGAAAGGGGTGACACAATCATTTCGCGCCAAATGTCACGTAAATTATCTTCGCGCCTTTTTCTTGGATTGTTCTATTGAATGGGTGTGATTACTTCTTTGGAAATAAATAACTTTCGACCTGATTCTTAAGCTTCAGATTTTTTTATCAACTGTAAATTTTATCTCATTTTTAAAAGAACACATTGTATATGGGCAGGCAACGCTAAAGCAATGGATTTGCTGATTATTCTTTCTATTTATCCCATAAGTGAACTAGTCCAATCATAAACAAACTCCCTCGACCTAGTAAATGGGACATCCCTTCTTGATTCAGTCTGTCTTCCACCTTTTCTTTCAATATTACATTTATTAATGATGTACATTACAAGGTTAGGTTTTTAAAAAAGCTTAGAAAGTCAGCCAGTAGCATATTATTTCATGCTTTGTGATGAACATGCAAGGACAGTGACAAGAGTAGGTCAGTACCCATAGAAGAATGGGCTTAACTCCCCTAATGTTCTAAGCAAAGAATCGGCAAAATGCAGAAGACATCATGATCTGTACTAGTTTTCATTTCATATAAAGGCACGTTATTATAATTATGAGAAAGGTCCTGAAATCGATTGAAAAGAAAAACTAAACAATTTTAAAACTACCCATAAAGATGTATTTTTAAACTCATTTATAATACATGTACATGTATATGGTAAGACCATCAGCGCGTGAGTTTCGTCCGGGGGCGGGGGGGGGGGGGGGGGTGTTATTAGTATCTTGTTTTGCTCTAGCTATAATGTGTACAGTCCATTTACTTTGAATTCTAGAGCAGCATTGAAGCATTTTTGTCTCAAACACTTCAAGAAAAGGCAGTTAAAACTGTTCATAATTTACTTCGACGTCGAGAACGACGGAAAACAGGCCAGTCTATAAAAAGAGGCCGTCTCATCAGAGAAGCGCGCCCTCTAGTAAGAGAGTACATGTAATATGAATTTCTTTAGAATCATCTAACTATTTTCCCAAAATTATAATCTACGCTAGTGCACTTAGAGTTTCACCCCAACGTAACTTGTCAGACCGTGGGCTAACTAATAAATGATTAAATAGTGGCATGTCTTAGATATTCGTTAATCTGTAGTATTTGGTTATGAGATTTGAGAAAGTCAATTGTACATCTTGTGTAATGAAGTATCGCAACTATGTCGCTCCTTGATGACGGAAACGTTTAGCACCACTCTTGCTTATACGTTCCATGGATATTGATTGATTAGTCAGGCAAGCTTTTTGAAAAGCTATTACTTGGTTATCTAAATGACAACGAAATGGGCATCATATTTAGTAATTTTCGGCAAAAGGCTTTTTAGAACGAATATAACTGATTATTAGAAAGTAAATATTTAGTAAGTCAGTAAGTAAGTTGTTTATTTTTTTTATAGTGACATATGTACATGCTATATATTTACATACAGTTTAAAAATTCAGCAAACACCCGGCCCATCGGGCCTATATGCCACTTTGAACACAAAACTTAAATACATAAAGAAAAAAGCACTACTTTAAGAGATAAACAAAAGCGAACTTGAATATATAAATAATATTGAAATATTAACATTTTATAATTATACATCTGTGAGCTAAGATATGATAGTTTCTGATAGAAAATATATTAGTACAATCAGCATTCTTATTATCTGAAAATAACGGATTGTCTAAGCATGAACGATGAAAAACAATGTTCATGAGGGAACTGATAAGTTTGCTTAATAAATAGATGACAACAGACTCAATTTGAGGTCATTCATTGGAAGACGTTTGTCTGATGAAGGATCCTTAAGAATGGGACAAATTATCGCTTTCCGTCACGCCGAGGGAATCGTGTTTGTATCAAATATATGTACGTGTTTAAATAAAATGACGTAGTGTGTTGATGAATTATAAAACACTATAAAGAATTTCGTCAAACCCACAAGCGTACACTTGGATTTAGCACGCATCACTATATCAGATATCTCCTGAATAAATATATCATAATTTATGATTTCATTACACTGATAAAATGAATCTTTCATCCGATTTTCTTTAATATAGTTATCTACCTTTAAGTGATTATACATGTAGTTGTTGTTGTCAAATTCGCTACTTCCATTTCCATTAAATAGATTTTCAAAATCGACTCTCCATTCTTCAAGGACATCCTGTTCGTTGGATGAAATATTTCCTTCATCATCCAACTGCAAAACCTCCATCGGTATGTTGTGTTTATTTCTGGGACCAAAAATAATAATTAATTTTCACTAACAGCGAAAACACCTATTTTCAATATTTAAAATGGGTGTTATGTAACGTGTCGGACCTGAGCGGTCAGTAGGTCCAGTGACGGTGCTCGGATTATCCAGTTTTACTGGGGGTATGATTAAAGCAAAATATACAGATAGTATGACACCTGCCTGGTGTCTTTAAATCAAGTGACCTACGTGCTGTATATAATATATATCTTCAGTTAATACTGGCACCTGCCTGGTGCCTTATGACAATTGCCTTGACTCTACAACTGACTATACAAGTCAATTGACACCTGCCTAGCGTCTCCTGACAAAAGCCTTATATGTTGACACCTGCCTAGTGTCTTACCACTTACCTACCCTACCCAAGTGGCTTTCATATACTTACACAGCACCACTTCACTATTCTTGTAACAAAGAACACTACCTTAACTCCACAATATGCTGCGAACAACTAGTCAGTTACTGCACACACCAAATGTCAACCAAACATCTTACACACAGCATGTATCGCGCCGATACTATATTGCTGTACTGCCCTTTGTACTAAGACTTAATGAATATCATTTAGTTTTCCAATATTGTATAAACAAAATACAACAAATTGCCTTTCTTTTGACAAATCAATACTAATTGTCTGACTTGACATCATAAATCAATTTTACTTGTATAATTCTTTTGTCTATTGACCAATTAATTACAATATACACATTGATTATTTATTATCATATAAACAAGTAACGGGAGGTAACTCCTCCAACCATTTCAGTCACATCAATTATGGTTTACTTATGTTCCAAATCTATAGATTCATTAAGACTAACATTGTATAAGAATTACTAGAGTAGCAGTGTTAGAACAATAAGATACCTGATAAATGTCATTAACGGTAGTTAAATCGTACAACAAATAGAAAAATCTGTAAAACATTCAACCTTGTATACTTTACTCGAATGCAAATTTTTTTCAGCAATTTTACAAGTTAAGGTATTTTTAATCAGAATAATATAATTTTCATACATTATTGCATACATTTAATGTGAATGTAATGTAAATCACCGAAATTTCACGACAGTGTTTGGGAAAGATAGCGATATTATTTGGGGGAGGGGGGGGGGGGGTGGTAGTATAAGCGAGACAAAATTTCGTGAACTCTGATAATTCTCTTATATAATATGAAAGAATTCAAACATATGCGAGAATAAAATTTTTGCAAGAAGACGGTCTCGGGAAATAGTTTTCAAGTAAAGTTTTCGCTAATAAAAAACAGACACTCTGGGAGTATTGCATTAGCAAAACTAGTCCCCTACCGGCAAGTTTAATCTGGTTCCCGTTAAAAATTGAAAATGCCATAATTCCTTTAAAAATCATTGAAGCGGAACGAAATGCAAACTTGATCTGTAAGTAATCAAAGTAAAGTCACATACCAAAAATCAGCTCAATATCTGGAAGCGTTTAGAAAAAAAAATTGCGGAAAACCCTTAACAATAGAAAAGTTCGTAATTCCGTCAAAAATCAATGAAGCAGAACAAAATGCAAACTTGATCTGTAACTCATCAAGATACACTCACATGCCAAAAATCAGCTCAATATCTGCGGTAAACCAAGTGGGACAGACTGACAGACAGATAGAGGTGCAGCTAGACGGACAGCTAGACAGACGGACGGACAGACGCAGAGGAAACCTATAGTTCCCTCCGGTTTCACCAGTAGGGGACTTACAAGCATTCTGAGAGTATTGCATTAGCAATACTAGTCCCCTACCGGCAAGTGTAATCTGGTTCCCGTTAAAAATTGAAAATGCCATAAACCCGTCAAAAATCAATGAAGTGGAACGAAATGCAAACTTCATCTATAACTAATCACTGAAGGTTAAGTCACATTCCAAATAATCAACTCAATATCTGCAAGCGTTTAGAAGAAAATTGCGGAAACCCTTAACAATTGAACAGGTCGTAATTCCATTTAAAAAAAATCAACGAAGCGGAACGAAATGCAAACCTGATCTGTAACTTATCAAGATACACTCACGTGCCAAAAATCAGCTCAATATCTGCAAGCGTTGAGGAAAAAAGTGTGGAAAACCAAGTGGGACAGACTAACAGAAAGACAGAGGGACAGAAAGACGGACAGACAGCTAGACAGACGGACGGAGAGACGTAGAGGAAACCTATTGTTCCCTCCGGTTTCACCGGTAGGGTACTGATAATTTACAACAGCCATTGAATGTGTAGATACTTCGGTTTGCTTAGTTTTAATAACATTGTGGTATGAAGTGAAAAACCAGATGCATCATAACAAGGACATGATTAGCGACATTGAATCATTGTTCAATTCTTATTCACAGAAATTAATATTAGAGTTCGAGAGTCCAGCCTAAATGTAAAAAAGATATTTCAACTTTATATACATATATAAAAAATACGCGTATAAAACGATCATTATAATTTCATATGGAATTGCACTGAAATTACTGACAGGGTTGAAAATCGTTGTCAAAAGACATTCTGGCTCATGTAAGCTCGAATTCACCCGTTAAAAAAATACTTACCTTAATGGTCGCCCCCGGGTCTCGTGAACCTGATTGTGGGTAGAAGGTGGATCAACAGTCCTAGGGTTCCCTGGGTCGTCGGGGAATGATTTTACTGGCGAGCTTTGTCGTGGTGCTGCTGAGTACTAAATGCAGAATAGCACTAAGGCTTAATATTGGTACAAAGAATTTGAATCAAATATTTTTTTGCTCTATCTTATAAGTAAAATCACTACACACGCCTTTTCTTCAGATTAACACAGGCCCGTAGGAAGCAATTTCACTTTGAGGGGGCACAACCATACATTTTCAGTTGAGGGGGCACTATGGACTACCAAAATTCCTTGTCAAGCAAAAAAAAAAAAAAAAAAAAAAAAAAGGTCATCAGACGTTATTATTGAGGGGGCACAAGCATGTAGTAGCTATGTTTTCTATAGTATTCTATATATCGGCAAAATTATTGGGGGGGGGGCACCCCCCCCCCCCCCCGTGCCCCCCGGTTCCTACGGCCATGTTAACATACCCATATACCTTAATTATGGTCTCCATCCGGGCTTCTATGAATCTGCCTGTCGACATATATTGGTGGGTCCACTGGGCTCCCTGGGTCGTCAGGGTTTATGATTATCGGCGCCCTTGGTCGTAGTGCTAATAAGTAAAAATGCAGAAAAAGCACTGAATATTATTTGAATCATAGTTTTTTCTTTATCTATTTTTTACGTAAAATCGCTACAAAAAATCTGTTCAAGATTTGCATACCCATATACTTCTCCCACAACCACTTTGAGGCGTGGAATAAAAGAATTGTTGTAACAATCATGTTTCTGGTGGCAAGAAAATGGTGGAATGACGTCACAATGTAAGGTAACGTGACAGTAATACAGCGCTACACGGCGGATTAATTGTGACGTCATAGCTACATGTTATCCATAGGTTGACGCTACAGGTAGGCAAACGCGAGTTATCTCTCTTTATACTGTGCAGATTATTGGAATTTGTTGCTGATAAACTCTACATTCACTCGTATCTGGGATATTGGACGTGACTAAATATACAGAAATAAATGAAATTTCTTAAATAATAATTACGTAATTGATAATTAATGATGGATACATGTAATATTATATATAATGATCCGTACGAGTGAAATGCCAGTCTATATAAACAATTATGTATCAATTTAAATTTAATAAAATGAATTTAATCAAATATTAATAAATTGTTGACAATCGGGGATTATCTAAATTCAAAATAAAACTGATTAAGCTAAATAATTTCTTTCATGTAAATTGGATTTGATGATGCAGTTTGACGTTATGTGCATGCTCACAGAGAATGCTGGGGGGGGGGGGGGGGGGTATTATCCAATGAAAAAATGACACTTTTTTTACAGACTGTCTTACGATACCCTTCCCCTATCATCAAATTCCGATAGAAGATTAACTCACAAAACTCGCGATATACCGAGGAATATCTCAACGCAATACAGGACGCTTCCAAACCTACTTTCCAATTCCAGACATTTTTTGCAAATCCCATCTACATTCACTCCTAAAGAATACACACTGCTCTCTAGCTTTTCTGACATGCACATTTTACGCTGATACATGTATCTTAACATTTCTATATGTCATTGACTTTAATAAGTACAAACATAAAACTTCCTATACAGCGCACATCATTTCCTTATTTACTTTTAATTAACAGATACCAGATTAACTTTTTTTAATTTTACATGTAAAAAAACACTAATCCTATAGATGTGATTTTCCCAAGCTACCTGTACTTTGTCCAGCTAAAATTCCGATACAAAATACAGAACTCGGTTATATCCTACCTACTATGGAAGGTCACCAGAAAAATTAAACCTGAAAATATATTCCCTGGTCCCGGATGTTTCTCCCGCCTACCTGTACTTTGTTCAAAACTCCTGCACAAAACACGTTAATACTCTACTTATTGTAGATAGATACTAGATTTATTTAACATTAAAAAATAAAACCTTGATCTAAGAGGATCTCCCAAACCTACCCATAGTTTACCTGTACAAAATTCGGTATTACCCTACCTTCTCTGGAGAGTCAAAAGATAAATTTATCATGAAGATACATGAATGCCCCGATCCCTGATGTTTCTCCTGCCTACCTGTTCCTTGTATCAGCTAAGAGTCATACAAACGGTTATTCATATCATAGACAGTTTTTATAACGGAGTCCATTATCCTATATTTAGAATATGAGACTGTTTTTGTTTCATATTGCGGTATAAGAATCCTGTAATTTACATGTAGCTTTTTTTCAAAAGCTAGTCGTGTTAGTTTTGTCGATTTTTTTAAAGATTGAAATTAAAATTAGATCACAAGAAAATTAGCTCTCTTGCCTTTAACAGAATTTCAACTAATGATATAAATGAAAATTTTTACTTCGTGTATTTTCGAATATTAATCGCAAAAGTCCATAGTCCGAAGACTGTTAAATACTTCAACTCGAGGAAGACGGTAATTATACGACAGTTTTTGTTTTGTTTGTTTTTTTCGCTTAAAACTGTGATTTTGCATTAAAAATAAGGAGTTATAGTTAATTAAAAAGCAATAATCACAAGAGAGGTGTTCAAAATTGTATAAATCTGACTCACCCTGCTTCGAGATTATGGACTTTTGGTCAAAGATTTAAACTGAATCACTGTTAACCAATCAGATAAAGCGAGACGGTTGTGCGAACTCCAAAGCCTCCCTCAAAGCTGTCAATGGAGAAAATTTTATGTGTCCGATTAATAAATCGTCCGATTACGACATATAAAACACCAATGATAGGGTTTAGGTTAAAGAGATTAGTAGAAGAACATCACCTTGACAGAGTGCTTGCAAAATTATGATAGGTAACACTTTTATTACCTTGGAAATATGCCTCGAAGCAGGGACCCCCCCCCCCCATTTGTTTACAAATGTTGTTTCTTACCTTGTTTATTTTTATTATCTACCGTGTAAGGCCATTCTCTAAACGTAAGAAAAGGTACAATCTGCTTGCATAGAACGACATATGGATGTGATTGATGGGAATTTTTTTTTATTTTTGAGAAATTATAAGCTCTTACATTTTTTTTATGAAAGGGGGGGGGGACTATCGATCGATCCACACTTCGGGCGCCTGTGGCTGTGAGTAGGATAGTTCTTTTCGCAAACCATTTCCTTCGGGGAATAGTTCCTATTGCGGGTGTGAAAAAAAACAACTTTCACAGTCACAGCCAGTGCATGAGTAAGTGTATATCATCTTGTCAATACAGAGCTCAACTCGGGTGTGACTGGTCGACGGGGGATAGTTAACCTCCTAAGCACCTGAATCCATCTCTTGTTTCCAGTGGTCCTTGTTTTGCCCTGTTCCTCTTTCGTATTGTTTTTAGAATTGACTGGGCTTCGTTATCTTCAACTTAATCATATTCAGCAGATTCAATGGACCGATACATTGACAAAATTATCATTCGTTGGAACTGTTATTCGAGGTAAGGGTGACCCATGCAATCCACGAACATAAGTTCCTCACGAATTCAAATGATCCCCCAATGTCCAGTGTACCCATGTATGAGATTATATGAATCTTAAAGCATGAAGCGAACACCAATGATGGTGTAAAAATATTCAGGTATTAAGGACAGACGATACGTTCCTCAATAATATATAATTTTTTCCAAGATTTTGTCATTGAAGTATTGCTACTTTAACATGTTTACTCACAAAAAATTGAGGTACCTTACCAGGCATTTGTGCAAGATACCAGAGGATGATGTTTCCTATATAATCCTTTTGGGAAAATCTTTATTTGTCAATATAACATTTTTTAGTGTTTTGATTATTATAAGACAATAAGAAACCTGCTAAGAAATCAAAAGGTAATTAAAGTTTTGAATAATTTTCATACATTACGAAGATTAGCAAAACAGATATTTGAGGAACGTATCATCTGACCTTAATATAGCGACGTTCGTATCTGACGCGTGATTTTTTTTTTTTTTTTTTTTTTTTTTTTTTTGTATTTGCAGAAAAATGAATGAATGAAAAAAATTCTTAAAAAAAAAAGAAAAGAAAAGAAAAGAAAAAGAAAAAAAAAGTTATACAAAGAAAGTAATATAGAATGCTTTACCGTTCATGGTAATTATAAAATATTCACATTTGCTGTGTTTCTTATTAATTCAACCATGACATTGATTTGGTTGGCCTTTTCGTGTATACTCACGCGTAATATTTATAATTACCAAGTACGGTAAAGCATTTTTTTTAGGGATGTCAAAATATTTATTTTCCTTAGTCGATTATTCAGTTGCATTATTCGAACGATAGTCGAATATTCGGAACATTTTCTGAAAATAAAATTTTATTTTAAACTTCACGGGTACATGACGTATTTGTAACTTAAAACCCTTTTACATAAATCTATTGAAAAGGTAACCTCAAAATTAATGCAACGTAACGTGTGGATAGCATGATTACATTAAATAAACTTAGACACCTAATTCTCCAAACTGTATAATTTCCCCATCAATCGAATTCATAGATCGGTCTAAACAGTCAATTTATGTTTTAGTAAGCATTATTTAAAAATTGCCAGCCGATATTTTTAAAAACAATTTTTTTTAGCTTATTATGAAATAAATAAAAATCAGGTGCTCGTGATATTTTTAAACAGTTAGATACTAGCTTATTCAGTTGATTGCCCAGGCTATCAAAATGTCCTTAAAGTGTAAGCGGATTGTTTTAATAATTATTGAAGTGTCAAAACATGTCACGGCTATGGTGTTCCTTGGATTTGAGCAATCCTAAAATAACAAAATATAATTGGTACAAGGTATAAGATCAAGCCCAATTAATAGTTTTCCAAACAAAGTCCAGTAATTTGATGGGTAATTTATTACAAAAACAACACAAGCAGTATCTGACGTATAATCCTCGCGGTAGTAAAGCACTTACAATTACTGTACCCTCTATAAGTACATGGAAAGTCAATCGTTTTTTGTTGAGGAAAATTTTCGACTGTCTCTGAGGAAAGACGGTTTCTCAATTTTAAGATGAGAATTCCATCTCGTTATATCACTCTTTTGTTGAATTTATTTAATGATAATAATATTCGAATGTCGTTTCATTATTCGATCGTCGGTCCATTCGACTGATAGTCGAATAGTCGACTATTCGTTGACATCCCTAATTTTTTTTAATAAGAATTTTTCTCGATAAATATTTTTTTAAGTATTTGTTATCAAGTGATACTTTCTATCTGTAAATCAAAGATACATTTATAAACTGTAAAAGCTTTAACTTTATAAACCATTTAGTTTTGGAGCTATTGTAAAAATAAATTTTTGGACCTGTTGACCTTTGGCCAAACCTTAAATTGAAGTCACAATGAGGCTACAGAGACTATAATATAAATACGCAGTACAGTTAAGGCAACATTTTCTATAAAAAGACACTGAAAACAAGACACTTGAAGTTTAACCGTCTTATTTTCTAGCATACGACTCTACTAAAAATATCTTTGTGTCTTCTTGAAGAGTGTGTCCTTTGCTTTTAATATTGATATTTTTTGTCATCATGTGACCCTTAGTAGTCACG